ATTTTAGGCACAATTTTTAAAAGGTCTAAACCTTATTAATTTCAACTAACAAATATCCCATGTGATACTCCATGCTTTATACTAACTCGTAGAGGCAAAACATTTAAGCACTATTTGATTATTTTGCTCACTATAATTCACCCAAAAATGACACTTCTTAGTCATAAGCTATATTACACCTTTGTTTAGGAATTGTTTTTCATACCAACAATTACAACAACTTATTCCATTTTTCTTATTATGATCTCACTAGCATATTTTCACATAACATAGACTAACCTACGATGCTCGTTTAGTTTTTCTCCACCACAAAAGTGAATCATGTAAGATTTGCTTTATCATTTCGGGTGAGTTTGACATTTAAAATCCGAGGAACTTGTTTAAAAAAAATTCTCTCGGTCTTAACCGTAGTGCTAAGTGAGCTCGTAACACCAGAGGTGTTACACCGAACCTAGAAACTGTAGAAATCTAAAAAACAGCAACCCAACGCAAATCAACCGAGACAACGTGGCTTGAGAAAAGGCTTTCGAACCCAACTTCAACTGATGCAGCTTCCACCGTCCTAGCAACTCCAACTTCTTAGCTCTTGTTCAGCAGCAAACTTCAAGGAGGCAACCACGGGACCATAGCGGCCCTCCTCCTGGCCTCTCCAATGCAATTCAACAAAGTTTCCTTTTTGTTCTCTGGACACAAAATTGTCCAATTCTGCGCCAAACCTGCCACTTGGTTCAATAGGATGTCCATCCCCTTCCAGCCAGCATTCTGAAAACATAAACTATTCCTTAGCTTCCAAAGGCTCTAAAGAGCAGCAGATGTAACAATATTAAGAACACCATGTTTCTTATTACTAAGCCAATATTGACTAATAGAAATCAAAGAACCACCTAATTGGATCTTCAGGATGTTTGATAACACAGACCAACGTTGAGTAGCCACATCACACTCAAAGAAGAGAGATGATTAACAAATTCCTCCTCACAACAGAAAAGACAGGAGCCATCCTCTACTTTTATCCTCTTTACTAGATTATCTCTAGTGAGCACTTTATTTTTTTGAAAGAAGCCACAGGAAATAGTGGACTCTAGGAGGAACTTTGATACTCCATAAAGAGGGGACCATAACAGGATGGACACCTCTAAATTAATCACTTTGTACAGAGATACTTCCAACCAATTGTGGACGCCAGCTAATATACTTCCAACCAGAGAACTTGAAAGTACTTCCTCCGTTCCAAATTATAAGTCGTTTTGACTTTTTTGGTTCATCCATTACGCTATGTATCTAGACATATTATTATATCTAGATACATAACAAAATGAATGTACAAAAAAAAGTCAAAACGACTTATAATTTAGAACGGAGGAAGTATCATCAAAGGTCATCCTAAAACTACATTTAATATGAGAAACTGTTAAGCATGTATGTTTTTGTCATCAACGCAGGAACGATGGAAATGTCTCTTCTCCTTTTGTTTTATTCAATATCAAAGTTCTGGGCACCATGTAAAATACATCTAATTTGAGTATATGATCAGTGATGACGTCCACTGATAGTACCCACTAATAAGTTGCATGATTCTATATATTCTTTTTTTTTAGAAATTTGCTATTTATCTGTCGCCTGATTTTGCCGTATTGGATCTGTCAGATTGTGGGCTGTTTGATGTGCTTTAAGATTCGTGCGAGGTTTTTGGGTGCAGACTCCCCTAGCGGCATCCAATACCCGATAACCTCTTATCCTGTGCCGCCTCCTATCTTCCCCAATCGCCTGTTCCTCTCCGCCGCGGTTCACGCGGTGCGGTGGGCGGCCTGCGCTTTGGCCGCCTCTTACCCTCTGCCGCCGGCAGCCGAGGAACTCCTCCGCCGCGGTCGCGCGGGCGGTGGGCGGCCTGCGAGTCTTTGGCGGCCACTTCAGCTGTGGCGACGGGCAGAGCAGCATCTCCGCGCGCGGGTCACGCGAGCCTCGCGCCCGCGGTTTCCCCTGTGCTCAGGACGTTGGGCGCCCCGGCATCCCCTCGCGCGTGCCGACGGTTCCAGCGAGCTCAAGGCGTACGCGCTGTTCGCCAACTGGAGCAGTCCATTTTTGTTAGTGCCCTGTTGTTGATTTGAGTTTTTTTTTGTTCGCTCCTGTTGTTGTATTTTTGATGATGAGTTCTGGCAGGCATCCCATGTAAATTGATGGTGCAAGCTGTTTTGATCCGTTTTGTTATGTGCGCTATATTCTCGTCTCTATCTAATTTTCTAGAAATTTACTATGTCGATGTGGTGATTTTTAGCTAATTTAATGTGTGTGTGTTTTTTTTTTTGCATTAGTTCTGCACTGTCTGGTGACACATATGAGTTGATCCAGTTATGATTGATGTATGAATGTGGCGTGTAGTAGGTTTAGGTCTTCTATGTTTTTCCAGATCTTGTGGAAAGGCATCTGCAGTGTAATCCATGTGCAATGTAGATAGTGGTATTCATCTTCATCCAAGAGGAATAAGAGTAGAGAGAAGGAACTTTTTGTAGCTGATCTTTTTTTGCTTTGTTTCTGGCAATCTTCAATGGACACTAGTATTTTTTAAAAACTTTAAGGAACTTGCTGCTGGTGGTGTTCCGAAGGCAGAAGAGTGTGTCTTGAAAGCAAGGCTGCAGTCTTTGTTTGGTCATGTTTTGACTAATGATGTATGTTTTTTTTTTGGTTTTTGATTTTCTTACATAAGTCTACCTGAAATTTGACCTAATAATTTTGTGTAATTAATTTTTCCCAGGTAATTAAGGAAGCTGTAGGATCTTCCTTAATTTGTTTGGTTTGGCAGTTGCTCGTACTCAAAGAGCTGTTACGTATGATGTATTCTGGATTTCGTTGCTAATTTATTTATTAGTGGATATTCCAAAGCTCTGCTACAGTTTTGTCATGTGCCCATGTGTGCTTCTGTCAGTTCAGTGCTTCTGGCAGTTCAGTGGAACTAATTAGTTCTGCGTTGCTCAACGCTGCAATTGGTTAACCTATGTGTGCTTCTGTGAGAAGGGGACTCAAAATCAAGGTCATATGCATATACGTCAGAGGGGGGGGGTTTGTACCTGAGTACCTCACTTGTTTTAGACAAACTTTTTTTGACCGAATGTTTTAGACAAACTTATTCATATCTTTGGAAAAAAAATCAGGGACCATTATTTGCCTGATTAGTAAGCATATGTGGTCAACATTCTGTCTATGAGTTCTGCTGATATGTGACCCAATTATTAGCTAACCTCATGTACAGCCACTGCTCCTATGATACTGCTTTATTGTCTTCTTTTTCCTTCTCGGTGTTTTTAGGGAATCAGGGTGTGCCATGGTTTAATTGTCTGAAGTAGTTGATCAAGATGCCTGATATCCTAGTTGAGTTGTGCATTAGTTGGGTTCTGCATTTGTGGTTCCGCTGCTCTTTGGTTCCAACACGCCCCTTTTTAATGTTTGCAAACTGCTTACTAGTACCATATAATACTCGAATGTGGTTGTGTACCGTATCATCAAACTATGTGTGTTGTAACTCCAGATTTCCCTTGTCATTTTTATCATTCTGGGCTCCTGCATGGATGTTGGTCCCAGGCGAACTTTTAAAATGTTTAATTCTATAAGGGTTGGATTAAACTTCTATCCTGTGCTGTTGGATTATGAGTGTCTGTTCAACTTGCTGTAGCGGTTGGTCAGCTTTTCAACCCAGGTTGTACAGGGCTAGTTCTAGTAGCCTGATGCATGCGTATTAGGATTTAGCACTTCACTTCCTTTCGATCCTAGTTTTCTCCCAACCTACTACCTATTTTTATAAAATTTTGTTATTTCTGTTGTTAAATGGAAATGGGAGATACCCGGTTCTGGAAAGAGAACATTTAAATTTGAATTGAATATATATTTTTTAGGGAAGAATTGAATACTTCTAAGTTCTGACTTTCTGTATAAACATTTTAAATCTTTTGTTCTATCGTTAATTTATTCAAAACCTGGACAACAATCCTTTTGGATTCATTGAACAGTTTATGCTAGTTTCTAATCAAGGAAATGTTACAAACATATGGTGTTATTTCTTTCCAGGTTAGTGGGACTAGTGGTCTTAAGATCCAGATTTCTTTGTTGTGCCTCTTGTTGTTTGACTCTTAATAACAGGATGTTGTCAGCCGCATGTCAGCGTGAACTTTTTCCTGATAGGCTCAATTGCTTCAAATTGACTTGCTCATATACCTGAACTGAAGTTATTAGGGATTATCTCGTATGCCTGATTACTTAGCATTTCTTTCTTGAGCTACCAATCTGTATGATCAAGTGTGCTTTGTTGACTTGTCTGGGGCTTACTTCCTGTACACTAGTGCTGCCAGGATACTTAGGTTTCTTGGTATGTCGTATCTTGGATGTTTTAAGGTGTTTGTGGTGTACCATGGAACAATTGTACTAAGTAGTTCATCCAGCAGTTCTAATTTTTCCTTCAAGTAGCACTTCTACTGCTATCTTTTTTTGTGTTATAATTTAAATTTGTTGAAATATTGATTTGCAATCTGCCTGCTTCTTATAATACTAGAATTGTGGTTATGAATTGAATGACCAACCCTGCTATATGCATGCACAATGTATATTGGTTTCCAACACCAGTTTTTCACCTTTTTCAGTCTCCCATGCGTGCTGTAGAGTGCGGGCGGTGCATGTAGTGTGAGTCAAGCTGTCAAGTGTGTCGGCGTCCAAGGTAGCTGGACCACGACTACGGAGTTCGTAGGAGAAGAGGGAGGAAATTAGATTGATAATACTTGCCTGCTACTCACGTGTTCCGTTACAGCATATATGGCCTAAGGCCTTCACACGGATGGAAACTAATTGATCCTATAATTAAGGACTGTAAATAGAAAGTAACAAACTAGACTACGTTTCCATCCTAGCTACTCGTTGATGCCGAGCCGCCCGTGACGCCGTGCGCGCCCATCGCGCGTTCCGCGGCCCTCCGCACGTCTCTGGCCCTCCTGCGCCGGGTGTAGGTGTGTCCCCACATGACACAAGCCCCCACTCCCCTCTGCCGCGGTCGATTGCGGGGAGGTTCTCCGGACTCCCGTGCGTTCTTGCTCAACTCTGACGCGCGCGGTCGAATATGTAAGTGCAGTTGTTCTTCATATATTTTGTTCGTCGATTGCTGCTTTATTGAGAATGCTGCTGCTGTGCGCGCTGATGGTCAGGCGGCGGCGGCGGCGGCGGCGGCCCAGTAGATCGAACCCAGCATCATGAACCAGGGGGCAGCGAGCTGGCACAGGATGATACTGCTTGTTTGTTCCTCTCCCACTTCACAAATTGGTTCTCTGAATCTCTCCAACTAGAGTCACAGCCTGCAACAACTACCCAAATCACTAGTCCTTTGAATGTTCACGTACCAAGTTGGCTTCAAGCTACAGGGCTAAACTAACGAAACCTAGCCATCCCTCTGCAGAAAGAAGCAAGCACTAGCTCTGATAGCAAACAGTGAAAGGACTAGACCTCCGTCCTTGTATTTGTGATTTTATCCTGGTGTTATTGTTTATGGTTGTGCTCGGCTGCCCTTCTTCCACAGTGGTTGCAGCTGCTACTTTTTTTATTAGTGTGTGCAACGACAACTTGCTTGTCTCTGTATTGTCCATGCTCTGTTGGTCTGCCTATCGAGAAATTGGATTATGCATTATGCTTGAAGCTATGGTATGGCTGTTGCTGCTGGATGTTTTTTCTTATGCCCATTGATGTCTCTTACTTATAGCAGATCTTGTTTTTTTGTTAGGTTTCACTTTTTTGGCTGTTGCTGCTATTGTACGCTCCGAGGTGAGAGGCAGCTGATGACTTATATGCGTGTTTTGTATATTTGCATTGTTTTTCTGTTTGAGTTTGAACATTGCTTTTTTTGTGATTTAAATTGAGTTGCTTTTTTCTGTATTTGTGTTTTCTTGTCCTAGAGTTCAGAGAGCAGAAGAAGGACCTACACATGGTTTTCATTGACTTGGAGAAGACCTATAACAAGATACCAAAGAATGTTATGTGGTGGGCGTTAGACAAACATAAAGTCCCAACGAAGTATGTTACCCTCATTAAGGACATGTACAACAATGTCGTGACTAGTGTCCGAACAAATGATGGTAACACAGATTACTTTCCGATTAAAATAGGACTTCATCAAGGGTCAGCCTTGAGCCCGTATCTCTTTGCCTTGGTAATGGATGAAGTGACGAGGGACATTCAAGGGGATATCTTTTGGTGTATGCTTTTTGCAGACGATGTAGTGCTAGTTGATGAAAAGCCAGACAGGAGTAAATAGGAAACTAGAGCTGTGGCGGCAGACCTTAGAGTCCAAAGGTTTTAGAGTAAGTCGAACTAAAACAGAATACATGAGATGCGACTTTAGCAACGCTGCACATGAGGAGGGAGAGGTGCGGTTGGAAGGTCAAGTGGTGCCTAAGAAGGATACATTCCGTTATCTAGGATCGATGCTACAGAAGGATGGAGATATTGATGCAGACGTTTGCCATAGAATCAAAGCAGGGTGGATGAAGTGGCGCCAAGCATTTGGCTTTCTCTGTGATAAGAGGGTACCACAAAAGCTTAAAGGCAAGTTTTATAGAACGGCGATTAGACCCGCTATGTTGTATGGAGCAGAATATTGGCCTACAAAAAGACATGTCCAACAACTGAGTGTCGCGGAAATGCGTATGTTGCGCTGGATTTGCGGTCACACAAGGATGGACCGAGTTCGGAATGATGATATACGTGATCGCCTAGGGGTAGCATCAATCGAAGAAAAGCTTGTCCAACATCGGTTGAGGTGGTTTGGCCATGTCCAAAGGAGACCTTCAGAGGCACCAGTGCATTGTGGAGTCCTATGTTGAGATACCAACGTGAGGAGAGGTAGAGGAAGACCGAAGTTGACGTGGGAGGATGCAATAAAAAGAGATATGAAAGGATGGAATATACCTAGAGATCTCTGTTTGATAGGAATGCTTGGAAAGTAGCTATTGGCGTGCCTGAATCGTGACTAGGGGCTCATGTTGGGTTTCAACTCTAGCCTACTCCAACTTGCTTGGGACTAAAAGGCTTTGTTGTTGTTGTTGTTGTTGTGTTTTCTTTATCCTAGAGTACATGTGTTCGCTAGCTTTTGTGTGTGTGTACATGTGTTTCCTAGCTTTGGGGGTGTGTGTGTAAGTGTGTGTGTGTGTGTGTGGCTATGTGTTTTTGTGTGTGTCTTTGTCTTTGTGTGTGTGTGGGTGTCTGTGTTTGCATTTACTGGGAGTTGAAGTAGATATAACTGATTGGAGTGTTGCTGCTGCAGGATGGTCATCGTGGTCTATGGGCTGTAGTTTTTTTTTGTCAGCTATATCTGAAGATTGGTACATCTTTGCTTGTCTCTTCTCTGACTAGTTATTGATGTGTTGACCGTTTTGATGTGTGAGGGAGCAATACAAGGTGTAGTTGAGTTGTTTTTTTAAGCTGTATTTATCAGAGTTGTCATGGTCAATTTAGTTGAGTTGTTTGTAATTTTTTAGCTGTAATGTCCTGAGTTGTAATGGTGATTTTAGTTTTTCAGGTAAACTATATGTTGGTCCTGAAGTTGATTTCTGGAGCTATGGCGTTATTCTTTATGCTCTTCTTTCTAGCACTCTCCCATCTGATGAGAATACTCCAAGCCTTTTTAACAAAATAAAGGTGAGCTATAATCTCAATGATTTACCTGAAAAAATGGATTCCTTTCTATTTTACTTTTAATATGCTCAGTTAATTCTTATATCTATTTTTGTAGGGTGATGATAGCATCGTCGAAGGTGGGGGAAATTCAGAGGAGCAGGAATTCCAGACGACACTATCTTACCTGGTTGAGCTGGAGCCCAAGCTCTGGGTTCCAGTGAGACTACTGGAAGGAAGGATATGTGGTGAGATCAAGAACAACCTTGTTTGCATCAGAGAACAAGCACAGAGGATCCAGAGATTACAGCATGAGGTAACTTTCTCAACTTCTATATAGTATACTATTACAGCATCCAGAAGGCATCCAATTTAGCCATGTCCATGTAACAGCAGCATGTCCTTGGCATAGAACATTCATTGTATATATATCTAAGCAACCGTGCATTTGGAATCGTATGTTCTCTCTGCACTTTGCATTAAGTGTTATCATAGACTAGTGTGCCTTGTTTTTTTAATGTTTTCAATTAGTTCTTATGCACTGCTGAAGTTTGGTTTGCATATTTTCAGTGATATAGGTAGTGCCTTTTTGAAGGTTTTTGTGACAAGTCGGTTGATTGATTGGCATTGGTGGCCTTGGCGCCTAATGAGAGGTTGGTATATTAGGTTCGTCTAGTCCTGCTTATTACTCATTTTCATACTCTCCTGTCTGCATTGAGTGGCTTCTAATCCCACCGTGGGCCAATAAAAACTGTTGAAAGATGCTTGTCTTTTGTTCTATGAAGATTGGATGGATAACATTAATGCCAAATGATAACTTTTTCAAGGCTTCATTACATAACTCTTATACATCCCAAATCCTTGTTTGTGCAGGCGCTGCTGAAGATGGTCGGCAGTTACTCTACTGTTGCCTTGAGCCCCAGCAGACGAGATGCTCTAACTGAATCACCGCTAAGAATTGTGCTCTTTGCCCTGCGCAAGATGTGCGACCACGCCATCTGCAGGAACTTCCTCCGATCTTCAGAGCTGCTCCCAGTAATCGTTCACCTTCGGCAGTCACCTGATCCAACGATCTCTTGAGTATGAAAATGCCATCGCGACTAGTGAGCCAGGCCTGACGTTTCTCTAGGCAGGCGCAAGTTCAAAGAATCAAAGGTGTTCCACGCTGGGCATGATCATGCCACAGCGGCCCAAATCTATGATCCATCTGCTGCTGCAGTTGTAATGTAGTGTATGGTCTTACGGATCAAGCAAGCTAGCTACCATACTGTGCATATGTATTAGACTTCTGCAAAAGAGCCATAGCATTAGCCGTTGTTTGTGGCCAACACGGTGAAAAAAGAAAGAACACATAATATTGTTAACGGGTTTTGGATGTAGATTGGAGTCGACCTGTTTTATACAAATCTGACAGATTTTCCTTTTAGCATCTGTCGGCTTCAAAAATTGTCATCAGACGTATCATCATTTGATTTGTTTAAAATCTGACAGATTTTGGCTTCACAAATCTGTCGTCCAGATGAAAAAATTGTCTACTACTTTGTAATTCAGAGTGTTTGTAACATGTTGATGTACCCAGCTATCATATAATATAATTCTTCTTTTGTCGCAAAAAAAAAAACTAGTTGATTTTGTTTATGTAATATATCTAGATATGAGATCTTGAATTTTTAAGTGCATTTCGACAATGCATCATGCCTCACATTGGGTGAGTACCATACATACGATTTTTATAAATACGTTTTTTTAGCAAACGATTTGTATAAATACGTGTCTCACATGTCCGTCCATGTCTACCGGTTCAAGAACAGGCCGTAAATTTTGCTCTTATCTATTACACCTAAAAAAATCCCTATGGTCATCGTCAGCGTCGCCCCGCCCCAAAAACCAACGTCCCAGTTTCCAATCGAAAAAAAACAAATACTTCAAAAACAAAAAGGTACGGCAAAAAAAATCCCGACAAAAAAAACATTTTAGAAACAAACTCTTCCACATCCCCGTGTTCAATCGAAAAAAACAAATATGGCAAAAAAAAAGGTACGGCAAACAAAAACCCGACAAAAAAACGTTTCAGAAACAAACTCTTCCACATCCCCCGATTCAGAAACAAACTCTTCTACATCCCCGTTTCCAAAAAAAATGTTTCAAAAAAAACAAACACAGCAAAAAAAAGTTTGCGGAAAAAAACATATACACCAAAAAAACCGTTTCAGAAACAAACTCATATAGATCAAAAATCATATACAACAAAAAAAACCACTTCCGAAACAAAATGTTCCACATCCAAAATCATATAAACGACTGATTACAGGCCGATAAAACCGATCATCGAGTTTGGCCTAAAAAAACTTGGTCTCTCGACTCAATCAGCAACCACGTCGCTTGTACTTAATAAATCCATAGGTGTTTTCATGATGTTCCGGAAGATGTAGTTGATGAACGGGCACGTTACTAGACGCCTCGTCGTCCGTCATACATTGGCCCGCATAAGGTCGCATGCCTTCGTGGCAGTGGCCGAAGATGGCGAAGACGAGGAGGAGTCAACCTGAGACGCCTTGGAAGACAAGGAGGTTGTAGGCGGAGACGTCGTTGACGACGGTGAAAAGGATGAAGAGGTGCAGCGAATGTACTCGTAACTATTAGCGAAGTTGACGTCGTAGAACGAGACGACGGCGAGGGCAAGCAGGACGCGAGGACCGGTGTGGCAACGGTGACGGAGATCATACGTGACACCGGAGTGCCCTCGTGGAGCTTCATGGCCGCGAGGGGTGTACGCAAACGCAAACGACGAGGAAAAAAAACAAATCCTCGCGGACACTCCAACATGAAAAAAAGGACATCCATATATATAAAAAAAGAAATTTATAAATAGTTTAGGGCCGCCAATATAAATTTGTGTATTAGTTTTTAAAATTTTCTAAAAATAATCAAATTTGTTATCGCAGATGCGCGTGAGTAAAAATATGGCCCCGCGGACATATATCTAGTAAAAATAAAAATCAGAGGAATACGGAAAGAGCTGATTTTGTGTCAGGCCTAATACACCGGCTCATAAGGCCCATTCCCTTTACCTTTGCCACGGGCCCCATATTTCCCCGGCATTCGGAAGCCCAGGCGAAGGGGAGCTCGACACTAACCCTAACCCTGCCTTTTCCCCCGGGACGGCTCCTCCCGCACACGAGATCAGGACCGGGCCCTGGCGGCTCTTCGCTAGGGGAATCGAGAGTCGCCACTGCCGCCGCCACATCCCGCCGACGCCGCCGACGCCACATCAGCTATCGCTGCCGTCACCGTCGGATACACGATCACCGCCACCGCTGCCACTCCAGGCAAGTCCATCTACATCCGCTGATTTGGGTTGTTCAGAGGGTATGACTATGAGCGAGGTAGCGTCGTGGGCGGCGAGAGGCAAGGCGGCGGCGGCGCGGGGGCGACCGAGGGCGGGGCTGCAGTGGTGGTGGGGTGGTGGGCGGCGAGGTCGCCGGCGGCCAGGGCGGCGTTGGCGGGGCAGGCAGGGAGATTAGGGAAGGGCGGGGATGGAGCGGCGGGTGGTGAGGTCGCCGGCGTCCAGGGCGGCGTCCAAGGAGGCGTTGGCGGGGCAGGCAGGGAGATTAGGGAAGGGCGCGGCGGGTGGTGAGGTCGCCTGCGGCCAGGGCGGCGGTGGAGACATGCTTAGCAAATAGTGTTGGTGATGGCTACAGTCCTCACGCTCCCGTATCAAGGGATTGGGATTAGCCTTGTTATCAATGGCTAGTAGTAATCCTAATCCTAATCTCTTTTTCAATATCTTTTTCGCTACATGTTAGCCTTGTTATTATTTTTAAATCATCTTTGTCTTTTTTGGGTTCTAATTAATATGATTAGGATTAGGATTAGATAAGTGCTCTTGGGGAATTCGAGTTAAAGTTTGTACTTTACAACTCTTGTTACTTCATCATGATCTAATATGATATGAGCCCATTCACAGGTGTGCTCCCTCTCCTGGATCCCTGTGATCACTGATGGCTGCGGTGCTGCGCCAGCTTCTTCGTCCACGGACAGGATCCACTTATGCCACCTCACCAGCAATGCCGTTGCTGGTGAGATGCTGCTCCAGTGCTATCCCCCCTGCTGCTGCATCCGCTGAAGAAATGGCGGGAGATACTTACTGCTACGCGTTGTAAGTCCCTCATCCTAAGTTTTTTCTTGCTACTGCTTTGTGACTCTTATCAAGAATATTTGAAAAATGTCATGTAAACTACAGGTTGGAGCTGTGCTGTGTAACTCATATTGTTCATGTGACATTTCTTTCTGTAGGGGGGAGTTTGGCATGATGAAGTTTGACAGACAAAAGTTCATACCCCTCGAGAAGTTCATGAAGGTCAACTCAGTTTTCGAGCGAGCACCAACTGACAGATTGATATCACCAATTTCCTTTTTCTCAGCACACCCGTATTTCACATCAGAGTCCGCAAAGCAATGGATCCGGGCAGGATATCTGCAAGTGCACTTCGCCAACAAATTGAAGTTGTCAATTTCGGGAGCTTTTGTTGATGGTAATGTAGGGGTAATTGAAGGGATTAACATTATTGCCTTTCTAAAACTTGACACAAACCTGTCCAGCAGCAGCAGCAGTGTTCCAGAGCCGTATCCAATGACATTCGCTGGGTTCTCAAATTTTCTCCAAGCAAAGATGAGAGAGGCCTATCCAGATGCAAGCTCTATGTCAGAAGGGTTAGAGGCGCTAATGATGCTTACTATCAGTGGTAAGCTTAACAATGGTTTGCCTGTGCCCTACAATTTGATCATACACCACCCTGAGTTCCTTCCTCTTGAAGTCATCGCCACTCTTATATCGAGGCCCATAGGATCCTGAGAAGGCAACTCCCTGCTAATGGCCAACCTGCTCTAGCCTACAATGTTATTCTGGATCTGCATGCGCTGTTAGGAGGTTTCTATTTCAATTTCTGTGCATCAGATGATATGGTGAAGGGATGGCTTGGAAGGAAGCAGAAGCAGCCTGGGCTGCTGGGGGCCTTTGGTATCCCTGCACCACCAGGTGCGCAGTGTAACCTGAAACTGCTCACAAAGCTTGAAAGGAATCATCTAGAGGTGCTGACCAGGAAGGCTTACTCAATTCCTGCACCATCAACTACCAGCACACAGCCAGCTCCAGCACCATCAACTACCAGCACACAGCCTGCTGTTCCAGCTCCAGGATCGTCCACAGCTCCAGCATCGTCAACTGCGAGCACAGGATCTAGCAACCAGATTAAGACCCCCCCCCCAAATCCAAGCGAGGCAATAGTGTTGGATGTGCATCGGCACTGCACGGTGCACATTGTTGAAGACGCACATGTTGCTCGCTGCTCGATACTTCCTGCAGGTAACCAAGCAAGTTTGAAGAAGAACCCAATGGGCTGGAAAGATGGCGTTCACCTGATGCTGCACAGGTTTCCAAGGTACCTGCATTGTGTCGTGGTGTCGTTTCAAATGCATAAGATTTGGGAAGAGCTGGATTTGCCAAGCAGATGCCCGATCCCTCAAATCTTTTCTTCCCCACCATTCAGACACGCTGGTGTCTGAGGATGGTATTCTGAGTGCACAGATGTCAATGTGAATTCTGGGAGTTCCTTTTCTGTTGATTTATTGCTGTAGTTGTAAAACTTTCTGTTCTGGGTTGCATGATGTTGTTCCCACGAGAGATCTCTTTTATCTTTTTGTGAACTTGGTTGTCGTGTCTAGAGGGTATTCTGAGTGCACGTTCTTTACAAATGTTAAGAAGGTGATATTCAAAGTGAGTGTTTTCTGTTCAAATGTTGCTACAATGTGTTTGGTTGCATGATCTAGTTGCCACGAGGGGCCTCTTTTATCTTTTTTGTGAAGTGTTGTTGAACTAAATACTAGCGGAGTGGTGCCATCCCTGACGAGTGTCGGTGGCGATGGTTGCCTCAGCCTGCAGTTCCTCGACCTCTCTGGGGACGTGCTCGTCGGTGGCATCCTCGGAGCCTGGGCAACTGTACCGAGCTGCAGGCGCTGTTACTGTCCTCGAACAATCTGGATGACATCATTCCGCCGGAGATTGGTCGGCTCAAGAACCTGCGTGCTATGGATGTGTCCAGGAACAGTCTGAGCGGACCTGTGCCAGCGGAGCTTTGGTGGTTGCGTTCAGCTGTCGGTGCGTGTGTTGTCCAATCGAAGCTGAGGATGTTGTGTGGGGGCCAAGGGCCACATTGGAGGGAGAGTTGCCGGGTAATTGGAGTTCTTGCCAGAGCTTGAATATGATGAATTTGGGTGAGAATCTGTTCTCTGGCGGGATTCCTAAGGGCCTGGTGGAATGTGAGAACATGAAGTTCTTGAATTTGAGCATGAACAGGTTTACAGTTTCAGTTGATTCTTCACCGCCCAGTGCCTTGCATGATGGACGTGTTTGATGTCAGTGGAAACCAGCTGTCTGGCTCGATTCCAGTATATATCTCAAAAAAGAATTGTCTTTCATCCCAGCCCCCATTGGATGACTTGGTGTCAGAGTATTCTTCCTTCTTCACGTACCAAGCGCTTGCTGGCTTTATGTCATCCTCATCACCTGGGTGCGCATTTGACAAGCTACCATAGTTTTTTCCGGAACAATTTTAGGCCTGCTTAGGTTGAAGCTGCTAAAATTTAGACAGCTAAACCAGTTGCTAAACTTTAGCCACCCTTGTTTAGTTTGTTGGTGGATTAAAAGAGCCTTTTAGTCCCTTTTAATCAGAGTGTTCAGATTCAAAGTGACTAAAAGGTGAGGCGGCCTAGGCTTTAGTCCCATTTAGCAACCCCTTGGTGACTAATCGGCTAAATGCTCATTTAGTCCTATTTAGTCATAGTGTTTAGGTAAAAAATGACTAAATGGGGACTAAAATTAGCCGGCTAAAGTTTAGCAACCCAATCTAAACATCCCCAATTGCTGTTACATCCTTGCCTCTTGCTACTGAAAAGTTGGGGATGCAGGGGTCCAATGCATTCTTAGCTGATGGGAATCATCTTGGTGGTCAGCTTCAGCCTAGTCTATTTGACAAGTGCAACAGCTCAAGGAGCTTCGTCGTGGAAGTCAGTAACAACTTGATAGGTGGAGCTATTCTGTCAATCATGCTGTCAATCAGATCGGCAGCTCAACAAGTGGACTGATGATCACCCTCCAATTACTGTCTGCCAACTCTGCAATCTTGTCCTGAATGATGGAGTAATGCTGGTTTCATTCAGCATTACCTGCTACCCGCCGCTTGTTTGGTTGCAAGATGGTTGGCCATGAGTGTTCGAGGCAAATAGTATAAGCCAAATCATTAAGCACTGATGTGAAAAAAAAGTTTCTTACCGAAATAGGCTAATATATGACTATCCTATTAGCATATAGCAAGCAGCAAACACCTGAGGCAGAGCTCAACATCTCTTCCTCGCTGTAAGCACATGGCTTGTCACCATGCATTCCTACAAGCACCCACGGGCCCACCACAGTACATGTCCTAACTGCATTCTTGGTGCCACGTAGATTCTGTCCTTATTTGGATGTCACAGTTTGTAAAAGCTATTGAGTCGAGAAGCCAAAGTTTCAGAAAGAAAAAGGGATCCTCGGGTGAACGAGTTTCCAATGTTCCAAAGACTACAACAATAGCAATACACTAGTTTTTAAAACTACGAGATTTGTTACAGTCTCGTAGACTTGTAAACCCAAATTACTGATAACTGCAGTATTATTTTTCTTTTCTAAACTAGGAAACTTATCTAGACAGGATTAAGACTGCATGGACTTATCTAAACTCATCTACTACGAAAACTGGATGGCCTTCTGTCTTCTCCGTTGGCATTACTGACTGGGATGGAGCCGAGGAGGGATGATTATTGGCTCGTGCAGTTGCTCGCTGAGCCTGAATCCATGCAGGTTTGAAAGTTCTGAAGGTAGGGCCGACACGAACAATGGCCACTCACTCCTCCTCCTCCTTCGCAAGTTCAGGGTCAAAAAGCGCTATCCTTTTTCTTCCCGAAGCCAGGATGGATGGCCATTGGTTAGTTCCAGTTCCAGCCTCCAACAGCTACTGTTGTGAACTGGATAGCCAACTGGGCAGCGGTGCAGAGAAAGCCCAGAGGGCGGTTTCCTCCGCAGGGCCCGTTCCAAACTCCTGTCACGGTCGCCGGTGCCGGCATAAGCTTGCTTTCAGCTCTAGCTTACCTCGACAGACGTTTGAGAGAGTCGAGGCTGGATGACTCAACTCGAGCTGTGGCTGTCGAGTGAGTGACACTGTGACAGTCAGTTCTGCAGAGCAAAAGTTTCACTTGCCATGCTTGCTACTACCGGTTTTGCTTTGCGTTTTTCAGAATATCAGGAGCAAGGGGCGACATCGCCATCAGATGGTTTTGCTTTTTTGCATTGCCTGTGAACTGTGAATTACAGTGGAAGTAGTAGCTGTCCTGTTCATGGAATGAACCTGGGGAGTATGGGCACGGTGTCAATCGGTTGAGCAAGTGCCTGTCCCTGTATGTATGCCGGAGCCGTTGGGCCCTTGGGCTCTCGTCTGCCGACTGCCGTCATCTCCAACAGTTGCTGCAACCACGGCTCTCAGCATCTCACTTGGTTGAGAACTGAATTTACTACTTTCTTCGTTCCTAATCATAAAACGTTTTTGCTTTTCTAATTATAGATTATTTTTATTATATATCTGGGCACGTGTATATCTAAGTACACAATAAAAACTTCGTATGTAAAAAAATCAAAACGTTATATCATTTGGAATGGAGGAAGAGGAGTACCATGTAGTAATATATCCTAAATGGGTTTGGCGAGCTTATCGATGGTGAGTTAACTTGGCCTGGTTTGGGCAATTGCCAATTGAGCTCATGGAAACTCTAAATAATGGTGTTGGCTTCAGTGCACTGAATCGGTTGGTGGTGAAACCGAGTACATGCAACTTTTTTTCAGGAGGATCGTGGCCGATAAAGCAATCGTATAACGATAGTTTTTGGGCCGAAATGGCAGCCCGTAGGCCGTATGCTTTCAAGGCCAATGAATCAAATCGTATAATGATGGTTTTTAGTCCAAATTGGTTAGTAGCCTCATTAAAGCTTAGACGAACTTGTAGCCCATGGGCTATATGACGTGGCCTGCCTTGTATATGGACATGAAAATTGTAAATAAAATATTTAGAGCTCATGAAATATCTCTAGAAGCTTCTAAAAATTGTATGTAGCTCTAGAAAATGGAAACAATATCCAAAGAAATCTAAAATGTTCCCAAAACATTACGATTTTAGTAGCTTATCTCAAACTTTCCATAACAAAAATAAGAAATGCATCTAGTATTCTAAAAACTTGCATGCTAACTGCATCTCATCTCATGTTTCTGCTGTTTTTTGCCCTCAAAACATGTTTAAACATTTGATTCTAGTGTTTTGATAATTTAACATATTTTGTAAAAACATTCCTCAATTTTCTAGAGCTAAATTTAATTCTTGGAAACTTCTAGAGATACTGTTATGAGCTATAGATACTTTATTTAAATTTATAGCGTACCAATTTATCTTTAGATTTTTTCTCAAAACTTTTAGAAGCTCAAAAACATTTTTCATGGTTTAAAAATTTTATCAGATATTTTTTGGTCTTTTCAACTAAAGTGGATGGCAACCACTTCTGACCAACGGTTTTGAGAGTTGAGAGGACAAGATGTTGTCGATGTTCTACCACCGATAGCCTGCCATAGGGGTACCCAGGGCAGTTGTTCGGACTTCGGCGTATGCTGGAATCGACAGTTAACGCAAGAGACAGTCGATTTATCCTGGTTCGGGCCCTCGACCGTGATCGAGTAACAGCCCTATGTCCAGTCGGCGTTAGCCTTTGCGTTGGATTGATTGTAATGTTGTGTACAATTGTTTTCTCTTTTATACAGGGTTCAGACCGTGAGGTCTATTCCTATCTTCTCCTATCTCGTCAATTGTGACCCTCACCTTCTGACTTGACTTGATCCACCGATCTAGGAGTCATGCCCTTCTTTATATAGTTCAGGAGGCAAGAGTTCTAGTCGGTTTACAATATAGAAGTCATATTAGGATTACAGGGTAGCACTACTACTAGGATTATATGGGAGGAATTCTAGTCAAACTAGATCTTCTCTCTTCCTTGCGGGGTACCCCATGGGTCCCGTATCGACAAGCCCCCGAACACTTCATGGTTGAATTCTGGAAGCCTCGTCTTGTTCCTTTAGGTCTTGCCGAGTAGGAACAAGCGTCGTCCGAGTGCTTTCTTGAGTGAAACCGTGTAACGCTTCTTGAGATCTTCAAGTGGTGTGCACTTTTTTGAAAAAGTGCATCCACTGGGTGTAGTCCCCGAGCCTCTTGCTATTTAGAACAAGGAGCTGGAGGGTCTTCTCTTGAAATTACTCCGATTCATTGTCGAAGAATTTAAAAAACATTATCTGAGGATATGTATCCTGCAGCCCCCGAGCCTAAATCCGAGTACTATGTAGTCGGATTATAGGATCTTGTAGACATTCTCAAGGGTGCATCCAAGTAACCCACGAACTGCAGTAAGCTATCCATATACCGCTGTAAGATAACACAGTTGCACCACCGAGTACTTGACGAGTCGGCGGGGTTTCATGTACCGCCGAGTACTCGGATCCGAGTACTTTCCATAATTAGCTTGCGTGCTTGACGTCTTCTTGCATGCTGTTGTATGTTGTGTCTCATCTTGCTGACGCAAAATCTTCTCCAGGTAAGTCATCCTCGATAGTCTGTCGTTCGACCATGATCCGATCCGAGTAAGGCAACCTAGATAATTTGTAAAAAAGGCTTCGGGTGGGCAGTCCCCTCACCGGAGACCCCGTATCACCCCACCTTAGAATTTCCAAATCACCACAACAAGGTCGACCTTTGCTGCCGAGTAGTTGATCACCCCAATCGAGTAGTCGATCACCGCGACCGAATAGTCGGACATACGACTGAGTACTCAGACATATGGTCGAGTAGTCAGACGTCCTGGCGACTTGTAGAGCGGCAACCGAGTAAGATAGCATGGAGCGCGTGTCTCACCTAATGGAGCAGTGGCCAAGTAAGGCAGCCTGCAAAGGCGTGCCTTACCTAACGAAGTAATGGTCGAGTAAAGCATTCTGCGGTGGGCGAGTTCCTTACTCGATGACGTGGTCCAGATATGGTCCCCTACAAAGTAAACATACAAAAGTATGTAATAATTGATATACAAGATATCAAGTTGAAAGTATGTCTGAGTGTTATAAAATACGAGTGAAATAGTATGTT